TTCTGGAGTTTGATTGGTATAGTCCGCGGCGCGAAGCGCCGCGCACACCTTCAATTTGCATGCGAAGCAACTTACTCCCAGCGCACACGGGAAGCAACTTCGACTAGATTTTTTCACTTATTTCTAAAAATTTCTTTCTCTGCCTGTCCTATTTCCCCACCCCACAAAACTCTATAACCACCGTTTTTCCAGGACAAAATGCTGGGAGTAGGGGTATATGAGTGGGGCTACATAAGCTACTTTTGCCGCTTTTGGTTTTTTTATCATAGTCGTAGACAAACGAACCTGTAAATATCTTTTTGCATGCTTTGTTTTGGAAGGCTAGCCAGACTTTTAACCATTCACTCCATATAATTTACTGACGTAGAGATAACAAGAGGGCTGTTATATGTAATGTTAAAGCTGACGGCGATATTAATGTCGGGTTGTTTTGGGCTCCCATATGACCGTTTCCGGTCTGATATCGAAGCTACCAGTGGGAGTATAAGTTACTAAGAGTCCCGCGTTATTTCAAGCAGGGCTGATGTAGCAGACTGAAACCTCTTATTTATTGCAGGCCAGACGTTCAAACTGCCGGTTTATATTTACGGTAATCAGAACCCTGTTAATATTATAACAATAGTAGGATTTAATAGCAGGTCGATCAGACGATTAGGTTAATTCGACTGCACACATAAGCCCGCCAAATTAAAACCCAAAGGGTGATATTTCTGGTTACTTCCATCTGCCAAAACGAAACCAGCAGAAACCATTGAGGTAGGGATGTCATTCTTACCGAACCACTCCTTTCATTTAACTCTGCATTTAAAGCTTTGAAGTACTTGCAATTGGATGGTGTACTTCGAGAAGATGAGCATGCAATCGCTGGAACATGCAAGTTATCGGTTGGATGTTTGAGATTCTCACTCGAACCCATTATGCGAGATTTTCGCGGACAAGACAGATGAATACGCGAAGAGCGCTGTATTTGCTACCTTTTATTTTCGCCGAAAATTAATCTCTTAGTCGGAATAAGCCAGTCTTAATTAAGTGTTACAAGCGCAGTCCGAAAATTGTGTACTATTTATAGGACGCATATACCATGCAAATGCGTACCTTATCCAATTAGGAGATCTGGCCTTCATCGATGGGGGTCATAAGTGATGCGAGTTTTACTCGTTCTTGTTAGGAGGATTTGGCAGACTTGCTTAATTCGCTTGATCCAATTCTGATAAATTCGCGGCCTCCGTGAGAGTCGAATACACACAACAGGGAAAACTACGAGGCTCACCGTGCGCCGTGAATTTAATCACAATTCGATCGATTTTACATGCCCAACTTACTGCTTGTATGGAATCCACCATTACAGAACAAAAAGCTGACTTCGCAGGCAGAATTTCCTAAATAGTTATCTAGAGTCCACCAGAATGACTACTAGCCTCACTTAATTACTGAGGGGGTTTGGCAGATTTGCTTAATTTCCTCGTTAGTTCTCGTCCGAATTGTTCGTTGTCGAAATCTTGGCGTCCTCGTGGGTTCTTGTCGTGAAGATTACTCTGCGGGTAAGCTTGCTGTGACTCTTACTGATTGTCACCGCTTCCTCTTGGTGGGGCTAATAACTCTGCCCAGACACATTCTCAGCAGAGAATATAGAGCCGGGAGAGCATTACGCTTACTAATAGACTGCGGACATGATGAGTAAAATCCCAGCAGTTAACGGCTCACGCAGATGTCAACCCTCGGGAGAATTTCGGCCTTGTCGAACTTAAAGATGTGGACAGGTCCCGTCGAATAAGCTGCGATCTTTCAGCTAGTGCCTACTACACGGCTTCTATGACCAGTGAAATTCGCAGCCATCCGCCTCTTGGTCTAAGCCTTCTCAAGAGGCGAAAACTGTCATTACATTAATTTTTGGATCCCTGCATTATCTCCTTCAGTCTTTACTGCTCTCCAGTTATTTTTCCCGATTCACTTGAAAAGGCTGGTTCACGCCTAACGTATCCTCCGAATACTCTTTTGAGCTGCCGGTGTTTCCTAATATTTTAGTTGATATTATAATACAGCGACATTTTAAAACGGTCAAACGGTTTGCTGATCGCGTCCTTTGTGAGGTCGCTCACACTCTCCACTGTGAACCAATGGCTGCGAAGTCTTCCTGTACTATGCACAGAAGCTTCCGTCATATGTCGTGCCGTAAATAGGCATATCAGCACTCCATGCTCCCATTCCTAGCATGCTACCTCATGTGAGAAGAAACGGAAATTAAGAATTTGTAAGCCGACCTGTCTCCATAACAGATGTGGATATCGTGTAGACCTTTAATTCTGAGTATTCCAGGACCTTTTACCTTACCTTATTCCATACTTTCCGTGAAAGGAGCCAGTTTTGGCTGAACAATTGGATATTCACCTTCAAAATAAAGCATATTTCTCTCTCTCAGTAAATTGATATACCATTTCACGTCGGTGTGAATAGGACGTTATTCTTATAAACTTGTTGTTAGTTTTATACTATCTGCCCCCTTCTTATGTGTAATTATGTGCGATTCTGACATTTTTGCGCTCTGCGACAGCTTCTACTCTATCAACTACTTCGCGGACTTGCCTACTGCCATGATCGCCAAATCCTACACCGAGATCTGAAACCGCAGAATCTCCTAGTCTCCACCAGCGGTGACCTCAAGTTGGCTGATTTTGGACTAGCCAGAGCCAAGTCAGTGCCCAGCCAGACCTACAGTCATGAGGTCGTTACGCTCTGGTATCGTCCTCCCGACGTCCTCCTGGGCTCCACTAACTACACTGCTTCTTTGGATATGTGGTAAAACACTCTATAAAGACCGTTTTTTTGTTTTCCGCCGAATCTGGTGGGATCGGTCATCCTAACTTTGCTGTCAATCGAGTTGTCTATTTAGCTCAGTGCCTCAATAGTCATTTGGCTGTGCTGAGTTCTTGGAAAGCTACAGAGATAATAAGCTCTTAGCTTTTAATCCTTTATTCGGAAAGGAGAACAGACTTTCCTTTGCTCTGACTGCGGTTACTAATTGCCACTGGCTCGACGGAAATTTTTATGCCGTATCTGGAGACGAACGTGTACGCGATGAAGCACTTTCTAAGGATATATTCTAGTCACTTGAGTTGGATGATGCCATTTAGATGAGGTGGAAAACAGACTGAGGTATATTGTTCG